ATTTCTGCGTAACGTACAGAAAAGCATGCGCCTACGGGCCTTTTCCCACAATGCCAAACCATTGTCCATGTTAAAGTTTATATATAAAAATTGGAGAACTTACATATCTCCCCAAATTTCGACTCTTCACAACCATAAATAGAATCTGTGTTTTGGCCAATTCCACCAGTAAATTTCATTCCACTCAAAATATAATAATTCTCTTCTCACGATTTATTAATAATTGTTAATTTAAGTTCCCATTAATTAAAATATAGTTTATTCAACTGCCTCTGGTCGGTTTAACAATTTCTTACATAACATTCTGAAAATCACATCATCTGAAGTGATTTGGCAACGTTTGGCACACGACCACAATTCGTTCCATCTTTCAACACAGACATTGACAACCTTCGGCCTTCTGTCAAAGGGTTCATCTCACTCATTATTCCATGACCACCATTTTGTGCAATCATCAAGTGGCTTCACGATGTAATGCTCTAATGTTTTCTAAATAATTTTTAATCTGTCTTTAACTTGTCTTGTCATATTTTATATAATTTTAACCATTGTACCATGTATCCAGCTCTCACCATGTTACTGGACGTTTCCCTCATCCTATACGAAAACAACAATTAGCAACATCCCCACATACTACTGTAAGTTGAGTCAATTTAAATTCATTTTACACTTTTGTTGCTACTGTTATCATTGTAATTGCAGCTCCTGATGATGATGGCAAAGTCCATTGAAAGCTAGAGAGAATTAAAAAAGTATAAAGAGTCTTCTTTGCTTAAATTTTGTCGAAGTACCCAACAAAAGGCGGAAGCTTTAATTTTTCACCTAACTGGTCTAGACGACAAAGACCACGTCTCAAGTTATATATATATATATAAACAAACAGAATGTGTATCTTTTAACTCACCCCTGTCTTGCAAATGAGTGTTTGTTGTGATTAAAATATGCAGAAATTGGTATACTCGTACCAAAACGGAAGACATCATGCATCGCTATTGCTAGTGCGGGGCAATGGCAAGAAAGTTGATCTCACCTGTCCAGTCGTTTTTCGCTTTTGATTTATCTCGTTTATCTAAATAATATCGTATGCCACCGAGCGAGCCAAGATTATGTAAGTGCAGCTTATTTTAAAAACATACGAATCCAGTTTTGTTTTTGATTTTATAAAAGGTAAAGATATGCCTACAGATTTTTTTTATAAATTAGTTAATATTCCGAACTTTAATAGAAGTTGCTTACTCAGCAAAGCTTGTAGCCACTATAGGAACTGGAATACAGTAACAGAGAGGTACAGAATTCTGAAGTCACTGTGACCTCTACATATTGTGTGTTCTAGCTCTAGCTTGTTGACAGGCACTTTATCTATTTTCCATCCTTCAATCATTTGAATATCTAGACACTTCGTTCTTTGATTCTTGATTATGAAGCCTCACTTTCAAGTGGTGTATTGGGATTTCTGTTGAGAACTAGTCTTATATGATGTTACAGAAAATAATTACTTACTGAAAGACCTTTAACCTTCCTATTCCAACCATATAGTCATTTATAAATTGTGAATACAATCTTCGATTTTTTTTTAAATACCTATTTCTGTTTACCTATTATACAGCACGACTATTTAGGATATGAGCAGTGCCCATATATATTGATACCCCTAGCAAAATACCTCATAACAAAATCAACGTAGAAGGGAAAGCCTCGTATAAACGCAGCCACTTAAAAACGTTCGTGAAAAGGTTGGCTGGTGGCAAGAAAATTTTCTTAAAATGTCTCCCCGCAGCCTCTACCGCGTCCTAAAGAAACACCACTCCCCTCCTTACGCTTCTGAAGCACTCCCCTCCCTACCTTCATCCCCCCTTGGGCTCGCTGTGTCTCATACGCGACTTGATAATTAACAAAAAAATCGTTATCGCGGGCCAGCGTACGTAAACGAAGAATCTCTCCTTACATCAGTGGCGTACATCTTCTGTTACAAAGGGTCACAGAATGTTGTTTTTATCATTATTGGTAGGTAATTATATGGTTTAGAATGGTGAGTCGCCTACAGGGCGCAAAGCAGCTCAGCATACCTTTGCATGAAGCTTCATCTGATACAAAAAAATTATGCATGTACCCTGCCAGTCCGCCATTTTGAAAGATACTGATTTTATCTTCTAGGAGTATAAACTACTTATAAAGAGGTCCAAAATGAAGTATCACACGGCCTCCATTGCGTTTAAAAAATGTTTTTTTTTTGACGGCGTCAACTTCTATGGTTATTAGCCGTTAATTAATATCACGGTAAAATATACCATCGATTAATAAACTCCATTACTCTAAATTTCAGCTTGATAACTTTCCCTCTTCAAAGATCAAGTCGGGGAGAATACCGTTTTGAAAGGCGCTGTGGTTTCATTTGGCCAGACAAACGTGGAGTTATATTGGCGCGAAAATCACAGGACAAGTTCCAGATTTTGCGTTAGTAGAAGGACTCATTTAGGAGTTAGATCATCTGAAATATGAGGGCTTAAATCGTAGCGGATTAAAGTGTGTATGTATATATAATATATATGATCAAAATCTCATTTACCCATATTCTTTGTAGCCTGCCCCGTCTCCTTTTTCCTAGCACCTTACTCTCCCAAACTGGTTTCACCGGTATGTTGTCACCCATTCTTTACAAATGTCCCCAGTATCTCAGCTTCTTCATTTCTATGTGTTTTAGTATAGATTCTGTCTCTAGCTACGTTCTTATTGTCTCGTTTCTCATTTTGTCCATTTTGGTTACCCTTTTAACTCGTCTCAAGTATCTTTCAACTGCCTTACCTTTTTGTTGTTGCGATGGAACCCAGGATTCGCATCCATATGTCAATATAGGTCTACGAGTATATATTGTATCATTCACTGTCATTTTTGTTTTCTTGGACACATCTTTTTTAATGATAAAACCTTTATTCATCGCATAGTACAAGTTTTTTGCCTTTCCTATCCTTTCAGAAATTTCTATTTTATTTTTGCCATAGATATTTAAAGGAGTGCACCTGTTGTAATTTTACATTATCTATTCTTACGTCCATATTGTGTTCTTCTTTTGTCACAGATATAACTAGTTTTAAATTAATTTAGTTTCATACCATTATCTTCAAGTACTTTATTCCAAATGTTTAATTTTTCCTGTAGACTCCCAACACTACCAGTTACCAACACCAAATCATCTGCAAATGCGCATTCTGCTAATTCCACATTTTGCAACTTCCTGTATCCAACAAAAACTGGTTTTGTTCTTTGCCTGCTTTGTTTTATCAGATCATCCATACATACGAGCCCCTTCCCACTTCAGTTGGCCCAACTATTGAAATCTTAGTTTTTTCTTATCAAAAATGTAGCAGGGTGTTATAGGTTTTAAATATTAACAATGAATATTTTAATAATATGTAGTAGAAAACACCAACTTTATCACTCCCTAATCAAATTTGCAGCATAAAAATAACACATGTTGCAATTACAGCATATCAACCTATTTTTATTTCAATGCAAAATAAGTCTATAACGCATAGGTGGCTGTGAAAAATAAAAGCCATGACAATTATTGTTTTTATTAATCACAGCTGTCAGAATACGTTTAAAATAGTTTTGGGTAGTTAAGGTTTTCAAAATGGGTAGAGGAAAGGTTATTAGTGAGAAAATTCGGTTACTGATAATTAATTTTTTTAATTCTGGGAAATCAAACTCAGAAATTGCAAGTTTGTTAGACTTACCGCGGTACAGTGTGAGAAATATTGTTAGAAGGTATAACGTAACTGGTTCAGTTAATATTAAGCCACGATATGTGAAAAAAAGTAATATCACAAATGCCGACCGAAGAGCATTAAGAAGAATTATCGTGAAAAACAGGCGTGCCAATTATTTACAATTAAGTGCTCTGTGGAGCGACGCTGTTGGAAGGAGAATTTCGAGGTCCACAACTCATAGAGAGGCCCACAAACTGGAATTTAGCACTTGCAAGGTAAGTTTTCTTATAAAAAAGTGAAGTAAAAACCCTAAAGTTGCTCAACTTGTTTATAGGCCAAAGAAAAGTCACTATTAACTCCACTGCAAAAGAAAAATCGTATTAGATGGGCTAAAGAACATAGACAATGGACACCTCAATAATGGTGTGCAGTACAATGGAGTGATGAGGCCCGATTCGAAGTTTGTATTGGTGACAGTCGTAGTAGAGCTATTTGCAAAAAAAATGTTGACTGTCTGAAGAGAAAAGTGAAATTTCCAGCATCCATTATGGTCTGGGGCAGTATGTCATCAAAACGAGTAGGAAAACTTCATTTTATTGATGGAAATGTGGATACTAACAAATATTTGGCAATTTTAGAAGAATCGCTTTTACCAGTGATGGAAGAATGTTTGATATCCGGCCAAGATTTTGTGTTTCAGCAAGATGGTGCAACGTGCCATACCTCAAAAAAGGCTATAAAGTGGATGGAAGAAAATAATGTACCACTTTTGAAATGGGTTTCTAGCAGTCCAGATCTGTCACCTATTGAAACTTTGTGGCACGAGATGAAAAAGGTTCTACGACATCCTGCTCGTACAATCACCGAACTGAGACAAAAGCTTCAAGAAATATGGGATTGTTTTACAAGAAATTTTTGCCAAAACTTGGTTAACACTATGCCCCAAAGAATTTCAGCCGTAATAAAAAATAAAGGTGATGTTACCCAATGGTGATCTTTCAATTATTGCTTTATTAACTTCGCGCATTTATTCGCACATTGTTTATTTGTTCAGATGTTCTATTAGTTATAGGTCTAAGTGATTTAAACTATGTATTTTTTACGACTAGAGTATCTAAAATGTTTTTGAGAAAATAAATTGTTTTTTAAGTAAGTTTCGTCATGTTAGGCAGCAGCGGTGGCCGCAGTAGTAGACTCTTCGGTCTCCTGATCAGTTGCCGTGCGCTGTGCGGGTTCGAGTCCCGTCTCAGGAGAAAATTTTCTCTTGGCTATGGATGTTGTGATTGTCTGTAGGTGGTAGCTGGTCTCTGACTGTCGAACGCGGAGGTACCACCCGGTGGTTCTCGTAGGCGGAGCCAGAATGTGTGCATGTTGGATGCACACGTGATCCCTCGTCAGAGTCTCTGTGGCGTCCCCCCCTTTCCCATGAATTCCCCTATAGCCCCATGGTACCCAATGGGTGCTTAGGCCTTAGGCCTTCGTGGTAGTTGGAGTATAAAAAAAATGTTTAGTTTATAAAAGCATATTTTGGTACAAATCTTGAAGTGGGCCAACTGAAGTGGGAAGGAGCTCTTACTATAAACAATAGGGGACTAAGCCCTCCACCTTGACGAACTCCCTCTGTAGTAACGAATTCTTCGGACATCATATTTCTAGATATTACTCGGTTGTTAGTCTTGTGGTATTTACTCATGATCACTTCTACTAATTTTACAGGAACATTTCTTCTCGACAAATTCTCTTTTGACTTTTGAATTATATCAAAAGCTTCCTCCATATCCATTAAGGCACGGTACATTGGTTTTCCTTTCGGTAAAAATTTACTTATCAAGTTTTTAATGGTAAATATGTGATCCTGAGTGCTTCGTCCCTTTCTGAAGTCAGTTTGTGTTTCAGACAAAATCGGCTCTATTAGCTTTCTTAGTTTTTTCTCTAGTATGTGTTCATAGGCCTTGAGTACTGTAGACAGCAGCGTTATTCCTCTCTAATTATTACAGTCTTTCTTGTCTCTTTTCTTGAAAAGTGGTAAAATAAGCACTGTTATCCACTGCTCGGGTACTCTCTATGTGTATGTATCAATAAAGAGGAACCCAAGTCTTAATTCAATCCCACTAATTTAGAGGACTCGCTCAACCTATTAAGACGATAGTCTTTAGTGTTTATATAGAAAATTTTAAATCCTAATCGCAATACCATACTGCATGCAGCAAAATGTTGTAGAAATACGAAGCTGTAGCATCGTCGGTGCTGGATAGTATCGTTGCTAAAAGTGCTCTACACCTAAAAAAAATAATTACATCACTTATTTTAGGTAACTTTGTAGCTAACATTGAGTTATACACATATTTTACACAACGTGTACTGTACTTTTTTACATAACATGTAACTAAATATCCAGAATTGAAGTGCATAAAAGGATGAAACCCACGATTCATGATATCCCCTAATACATTATTGAGTTTTTACTTAGTATGCTACCAAACTATACCTAATCTTGACAATCTTTTTACATAAGTTGTTATAAAATTTATTGACCAGTGTGTTCGACATCCAAAGGGAAAGAAAGCGACGGGTTCGTATCATATCACCGAAGTAATTTTTGGAGTCAAATAGGGTGAAACTCATAGTACATAATAAGAACTTTATTTAGGAGTTCATTGGCCAAAACATTAAAAAAATTCAACGCCAACACAAACAACTGCTTTGTCCGCGATAAGCCATTCCATATTAACCAATGGGACACGCACATTCTAAATTTGTAAAAGTGCTTATCCAAGTTTTTTATAGGTTGACCACTGACCATGTTATGTTCTGAAATCTTACACAAAAAGATTTTTAAATCTAACTTCAAATATGTATGTAATCGTTTACGGTGAAAACTACATGGTAACTTTTTCTGTTACTCGTGATTTCATGATAATGGTTTACATATAAAAATATCCATAAGCTCTATGTTACCATATTATTATGTAAATTAACGTTATTAGTACTGTGAAATAATAAACACATGGCGCATTAGGAAAATCTTTAAATGACACTTTACACGCATTTTTTTGCAGTGTGTATCTAAAACAAAATTTGATTGGGTAGCATGATTTTTTTGTGTACCTATCATGAATCACATCTTCAACTTTGACTGCTTAACACATAAAAATTCCAACTTGACTTCAATTTATAAGGGATTATATTCGGCACAAGCTAGTTCCTCTTAGAAAAATATGGGCTACAAACATATATGACAGAGGAATTAAATGGATCATACCATCAGTACATATTCAACAATGCGATCTCGCCTACCGTCCAACCACAGGCATCTACCAACGTCGCAATCCAGCATAGAGTTATATATTATACACGACAACAAGTATCGGTCATCTCTAGCCATCCAAAGTCGAGAGGCGCGCGCTCGTTGAATTGACCGGCACGCGTACATTGAAGATGTATGTTTGTAATGCAGCTTTTAAATGCAAATGTACGGGGAAATCTTTGGTTTATGAAAAATGTCTAATAGGTGCGTAGAATTACCTGGAAGCGTATAGACCGCTAGCACCAAAAAATTAACTCATGCAAAAATGTTTCTGAAAATAATGAGGAGCCTCTGAAACGTCAAAAAACGAAGTTTCCGTGTTTTTGCCACCGGCACTGGATCCATTTTTAGAATAAACATTCTTGGGTTTCGGTCAACGTGAACTCATTTTATTTCATTCATGCAACGTTTCGGCCAACTAGGCCATCCTGAGGTGCATATTCTGGAAAATATTAAAAGCGTTACAAAAGGTATTTCTAATAAAGTATTACACTACAATTACACATAATACACGCACAGTATATGGAACAAGCTTAAAATTCTTAGCTTACAGAAAATTTACTTTATAGTAGGTTTATCATCCCGTTTTAAATATTTATGCGTACATGAGCACAAGCAGTTCCAGTGGTCAGTGAGCAACTGGCATATTCGACAAGACTCGCTAATGTGTGCAAAAAAAGTAGAATACAAATATGTTCCTGTGATAAGACTTATATACACAGTTATAGGCAACCAAAGATTAGCGGTCCGACAGACCGCCGGAAATGAGTGACATGGTTTTTCGTAATGTTATGTCATATAACATCCGAATAACATAATATCTCATTTTCGATATATATGTAGTCATGTAGCCTACACAAAAATACAGGGCATGTCCTGCAAGAAGAAAACCTGAGCATCAGTTCATGATCACAGCCTCATCAGCATCAGCATCAGCACCAGCAGCACCCCAATTTTTCCAACTCTTCCACACCCGCGGCTCATTCTCCCGCCTCCCCTCCCACCGCGCATCCCTCCACGTACCGTTACTTCCCCCACTACTTCGTCTCTCCATCTTCTATCTCTGTCTGACGCACGTCTCGTCGCCGCTTCCACGCGCTACCGTCTTGATTGTCATTATAAGGGAGTTTTAATAAGGGAAGTATTGATGTTCGTTTTTAATGCACGTATTCTTATTCTTAGCGCACATCGGTCTTCTTCGCCCCGCGTGCCTCGGCCGACGCGACGCCGCCTGTACCGCCGACGCTCAGAGTACAGCGTCGCCGGAGATGGGGACAGGGACGGAGGGATGAAGAACGATGGAAAGGGTTCAAAATTACTGAAGTTTCACAAGTCGGTAGAAGGCAGGACTTGACGAATAAGACTGGAGGTCGTGGATTGTCTCTACATGACGATGATGAAGTTTAAGATACAATATGTTGTAAGCAAGTTGATGGAGAGGTGCATAAATCGGGAGCTTCTGGAGTATCTCGAACGTCACGGCTTTATTAGCACAACAAGCAGTATGGTGTCCGGCACCAGCGATCCACAGGAGACCAGGAGGATTAACTTACCTCACGCAAGTGTGGAGTAAACCCCTCCAGTCTTATGGTGAGGCTCATGTCCTTGCTGTCGACATCACAAAAGCGTTCAATTAGCTATGGCATTCTGCTCTCTTACACAATCAAGCTTTGCAGATGTTAAGCCAATCTGTGACGATGAGCTGGAAAAAAGACGGCTTGCAGCGACTTCCTCTCTGACGAGGTTGTCACCGTTTGGAGACGCATCAGTCAGTTTAATGCTTCCAAAACACACCTGTACCTGTACCAGAAGCGTCCTAGCGCTCATCTGGTTTTATTGGATGGCCGAGTTCTACCAAAGAGCCGTTCATTTCGCCCTGATCTGGCACGGACACATCTCGTCGATAGCGGCGGCTGCAGGGAAAAGCTAGGCTATTTGTCATTCTGTACAAGGCCCAGATCAGACCTAGCCTCAAGTATCGCTCACATGTTTGGGGTGTTGCTGCCCCGACTACATTATTCATGCTCGGTGCTGTTCAGAGGGTGACTGTCTGACTGATATCGGACTTCGGTTACCCTCTAACTCAACAAGATGCAAATATTGGTTCTCAGAGCGGACTATTTATATACCACACATCATGCAGCCCTGAAGGGAAAGTTCACCTTTAGTTCAAAAATGCACTACTGCTCTTAGCCCCATTGAAAAAAGTGGCTGCTTTAGATTACCGTACACAATGGAGTGCCGAGTAATGAGAGAGATGACTATCTGGCCAGAATGGGGCCAGAGCTTCCTCGCATCAACAATATAGTTAGTTCAACTGCCTCTGGTCGGTTGACAAGTTCTTACCCAACATATCTTGATAAATCGTACCATCTGAAGTGATTTGGCAACATAGCACACACTTTACAAAAGAATTTTCGTTCCATCCGTCGACACTGACACTACTAACCTTCTGCCATCTGTCAAAAATTTCACCTTACTTATGATCCTATGCCCACCATCTTGAGCACCATCAAGTGGTTCACGATGTAATTTTTAACTTTCGTTTCAAATATTTTTAATCCATTTTAATTTGTTCCTGACATACAGCTGTGTGTAGTTTGTATTAATTTTGACGAATGTACCATGTATCCAGCTTTCACCAGGTTGCTGGGTGTTTCCCTCAACCTAAACGTAATTAACATTTAGCAACATCCTCACATACTACTGTAAGTTAATTTAAAATTCATTTTGCACAATAGTTGCTATTTTTCTCAATGTTATTGCACCTCCCGATGAAGATGGCAAAGTCCATCGAAAGCTAGAGATTACTAAAGTATAAAGAGTCCTCTTTGTTGAAGTACCCAACAAAAGGCGGAAGATATATATATACATGATGAAATATTTACCTGCCAACCTTGTTTGACTATGGTTTTTACTACCCTATCATTATACTTGTATAGTTGAACTTACGCCATCTATTGGCGATCTTAGGAATCTGGCAGAAATTCACATCAGTTTCACTTGCCTACATTTAGGGCCCAATACTTTTCAGTATACGTATACAGCCGGTGCCAACGACTAATAATCCACACGGTATGTTCATTGTCAAAGTCGGCATGAAACGGAATATTTGTGTGAATTGTACAGCTTTCTGCAAAGCTTTTTATGTTGGTACCAAAAACAGCCAAGCATACGCTGTCGCTTACTTTCTAAATA